GCGGGATCTCGTCCGACCTAACGCGACAGTCGGAAGTATTCGGATGAACAGTTCAGTCTGTAAGTGCGTTTTGGACAAAATCGTTGAAGTCCAGACTAATTTGGCAGTTGCGTCAAGTGTTTTGGCAGAAGAAATCAACAGTGCAATTTTTGCCAAAACCGTTCCGGTTGTAGAGAAGAAGCCGAAGCTCAGCGAACAAGAAGAATTTACCGAAGTTTTTGCTAATCCTATATCAAGTGCTTCTTTTTTCTAAAATATGGAGGAAGTGTTTGTGCGTATGATGGGTGCGATGGAGCAGCGGCAGAAGTTGATCAATCAGCTGCTAGAAGCTCAAGCACAGACGCACACACAGATGATGAGGGACCAGCAAGCGCATCAAGAGCAGCAGTTGATTTTACATCAACAGTTGCAGGATGCAATGAACCAACTAGCGAGCCAACAACCGGTCGAACTGCAACGGGACACGGAACGACGAGTAGAAGGACTGTCTATGCCTGCGTACCATGGGCACCTTAATGAAAGCATTGGGCTGTACATCCACCGTGCGAAGACCTTCTTCATGGCAAATAACTTGAACTACGAACAAAACGAAGTGGTCGAAGCGCGCAGTCTTGCGATGGTTGTGGCGAACCTCCAAGGACAGGCTGCGGCTTGGTACCAGGAAATGGCTTCGTGACGAGTCAATGGTGGCTTCAGGACTCTTGTCAACTTCGAACAAGCACTGCGTGAGGAATTCGAGCCTGATAACCTCCAAGATCGCTTGCGGGATCGCTTGTTCACACTTTAGCAGCGCTCGTACAGGGACTTGTCTCGAGTACGTGGAGAAATTCCGCAGAGTGTGCACAGACGTTCAAGAGATGTCAGAGTTGGACAAAGTGACGTTTTTTACCCGTTGTTTAAAGCTCAAAACCCGGGAGGAAGTCAAGTACCGACAGTGCAAGACGTTGACGAGTGCGATCAAGGTTGCTCTGGAGTATGAACGGGCACATGTGGTTTCGTTGTAGCAGCGTCATGACAAGTCCATCCGCGGTGGTCGAGCGGAGATGAGAAAGGATCCACCTCCTGCTCCTCCAGAGTCTAACGAGTCGGCGGACATGGAAGTCGACAACACCAACGTTCGCAAAGCCAGCAAGTTGCGCTGCTTCAATTGCCAAGGTTTTGGGCACTTTGCGGCTGCGTGCCAAAAGCCGAAAAAGAAGATCTCGGGTGATGGACCTCCAGGCAAGCAAAACAACCTAGAAGTCGAAGAAGCACCAAGCGACAAAGATGTGGAGTACATCACGTTTGGCGCCATGGAAGAAAACGGTGCTGAAGGCGTTGCGGTGTCGAAAGCGCAAGTCGGACGAAGTCCGGAGAGCGGCAGAGCGCCATTGATGATAAAGTCTGGCGTAATGAATGGCAAAGTCGTGAAAATTCTTATTGACTCGGGAGCACCGAATTCGCTCTGTCGAGTCGGGTTGGGCAAACATGTCATTCGCTCCAAGGCTGTTCACATCTCGGGCTACGACGGACTGATGTCAGTACTGACAGAGACGCGCGAAGTGAAGGAAACGGTGCAGATTGGCACGTTCACGTTTCATGACACGCAGCTCACGGAATGGGACTTGAAGGACAAAGCGTTTGACGTCATCCTGGGCCAACCATGGTTCAAGAAGCACAATCCAGTCATCGATTGGCGCAAGCACGACATCATGTCGGTTGACGAGGTAGTGGATGTCAATGCGTCGGCTGCTGAACCACCAGGATG